GGACAGGAGTTATTACTATCGCTAGATGGAATGGGATAACTCTTCTTTATATATAACATGAATATATTGCTATAACATCCTTTTGCTTATTTTATACTTTTCATCCATGTACACATTAAAGACCTGATCCTAAAAACATTTGTGTATGTGCATCGCATCACTCAAGCATGTAATCCCTTTGAAGTCAAAGAGCCATGCATCAGTGTTTTAAAGATATGATTCTATAAGCAAAATTATCTCAAGCCTTCTGCTCTCCTTTTTATCAGGCAAACATTAATGGAATTAAAGCAATATGGAGCAGGGCTCCAAAATTGCATGCTGACTCTTAACTAATTCCCAGAACTAATTCTCGGGAAAATAATATCCATCAACTAATCCTTATAGCACGTAGCAGGCCATATATAGACTGCTCTCATCATACCTATGGTCTACACTGGCCCCCTTTTCCGGAAATGCTTAAAATGGAACAGTTTTCTGTTATAAGTATTTCCTGAAAAATCGCGTCTACATTGGCAGGATGCTTTTCCGGAAAAGCGTCTGTGGCCAATGTAGACGCGCTTTTCCGGAAAAAAGCCCCGATCGTCATTTTTGCGGAAAAGACTACTGTGCTGTCTACACTGGCCCTTTTCCGGAACAGTTTTTCCGGAAAAGGACTTTTGCCCAAATGGGAGCAGCATAGTTTTTCCGAAAAAACACAGACCATTTTACAGTAGATCGTCAGTGCTTTTCCGGAAAAGGAAGCGGACAGTGTAGACAGCTGGCAAGTTATTCCGGAAAGGCGGCTGCTTTTCCGGAATAAGTGGCCCAGTGTAGACACAGCCTTGCAGTACAGCTGAACTGGGTTGTAGGTGTAACTGAGAGCAGAACTTGGTCTCTTTAGAGCTGAGCTTCATTAATGCAACAAATCACTCTTGACTATAGCAAGCTTGTCTTGGAAGACTTGTGATCATCTTTGCTGTCTATCTGTAGTTTAGCTGGCCTCACAAAATGGCTATAATATTTCTAAGTATCTTTATGCTATTAAACCTTTCTCCCTTTAAAACTTTTTAATATCCTTTTTTCATGAGCTCTTGTAGTTTTTCCTATCCTCCTTTTTAGACTCTTCCAGAAAATCATGATCTGATTGTAAGTCCAGAAAGTTTCTCAATAGAAGGAACTGCTATTTGTGGAGGGTTTTATTTTAACCTGCCTGCCACACATCTGCTGCTGACGAATCATCAATCATTTCCAGTTACAGCACTTTCTGTTGTTCTTTGGGGAAGCCTAGTTCTCCCCTTTCCTCCCACATCTGCACCAGGTTATTCTCAGGTTTCTATATGAGTGCGCATATCTCATTTTCTCCCTTCTTTTTCCTTCTGTACATTACTTTCTGCTGGGGAATATCTTTTCTTTACTGCATCAAAGTTATAGTGATAGTAGCTATCAGAGTAATTAAGATAATGAAATATTTCCTTTTGTTTTTCATAGTCTTCTAAGTTTTAGCCTGAAATTTTCCATGCTTAGTCTCTGTCTAAAATCAAGTGCTCACCAGAAATATATTTGTATGTCACTGAATGAAACTTATGGGCCTGATTAACCGCTATGTTACTCCATTTTTTACTCTAGTGTAACGCTATTGATTTCTATAGCTTGTCCCTAATGCCTCACTTCAGCAAAGCAGTTAAGCATGTGCATAAATCCATCCTTATTCAGTAAAGTACTTGAAGACAAAGGGGTTATGTCTACACTGGCCCCTTCTCCGGAATAGGCATGCTAATTTTGAACTTTGGAATAGGGAAATCCGCGGGGGATTTAAATATCCCCCGCGGGAGTTAAATGAACATGGCCGCCACTTTTTTTCCGACTTGGGAAAAAAGCATCTAGACTGGCGCGATCCTCCGGAATAAAGCCCTATTGCAAGATCCTCCGGAATAGGGCTTTATTCCGGAGGATCGCGCCAGTCTAGACGCTTTTTTCCGGCTTTTCCCCAAGCCAGAAAAAAAGCGGCGGCCATGTTCATTTAACTCCCGCGGGGGATATTTAAATCCCCCGCAGATTTCCCTATTCCCAAGTTCGAAATTAGCATGCCTATTCTGGAAAAGGGGCCAGTGTAGACGTAGCCAGGGATTCAAGAATAGTCTTAAAAGTGAGCATTTGTTTAAGTGATTTGCAGAATAGCAATAGATGTCTGCATATGCTTCAATGCTTAGAGAGTGGGCGACCATAGAGCTGGTCTCATTTTATTCATTAATTGAGAAATGGCAGAAAATCTTCTAAAGTGTCAAAAGGGGCAAGAAAGGATTTATAATTACTATAGAGGCCAGCCTGTCAGCTAGGGATAGCCAGATTCAATGGCATGCTCTCAAGGTAATTATAGATCCATAATACTGGACTACCTGCATGCTGCCCAAACTGTAACAGACTTGTCCATACAATGTCCTGTGAGGTCAGGAAGTGCAACTCCAGGGGTAATGAGGTGGAGAGAAATTGTGCTTTGCTAACATCACACAGGAAATCTCTAACAGAACCAAAAATTAACTCTACTCTTCTGAATTCCAGTCAGTCTTAACCACAAGGCCATCTGTGATCCACAGAGGGGGCTTCCCATACGTGAGGAATGTACCTCTAGTCATGTATGCTAAGATCCTAAAGAGTCTACAGATAAATAGGGTGCGAAACAGCCTTGTTTCATGCCACGAGTCAATTTAAAGGGGTCTCCCCTAGAGCATTTACAAGGCAAGCCGCTCAAGGGCTTTTTGTGTGTAGTTCTGTAATAAACCCTCTTTAGGATGAGTTGCGTTAACTGCTTTGTTCCCTTTTAGCAGGGAAAACAATTGTTAGAATATTAAAGCGATAGCTGCTAGCCAGCCAAAGATGTTTTGTCCATAATGCCTTTTATTGTGAATTTTTTTCTTAACTGGTTTAAGTACTGTCAGCTTCTCACATTTTTATTTCGGGAATGGATATATGCCCCATCTGGCACCTATCTTAAATGCTGGAAACATGCTCCAGGCTGTACAAGGCACAAATAAGAACTCAAGGCTGGATTCAGATCTCAAATCTGGAGCCCACCCTGGAAATTGAGAAATGTTTTGTTAGCACCCTTCTTGATGAAGTTTGGATGTAAATAATTTCCTGTGTCAGTAAACCCAGACAAGAGTGGCCACTCTTTGAAAAGAAAACAAAATTGGGTCAGACGCCCAGTATATGTCAACTGGCTTGGAGCTGCAGGGACCTCACTGGAGTGAAGCTGATTTACATTCAGTGCGCCAACTGCAGCACCCAGCCCACTGATATTACTTCGGGGGTTTTATCTTCATACAATAAACTCTTTGATAAGGACAGGGTTCTGGTAGCCATATACATTGTTGCCTCACTCTCTGAGCAGAACTATTGAAGTCAGTGGGACTCATCATAGAGCAAAACGTTACTCGGGAACACCCTTGCTCTCCTTATCTGGCCTAACAAGTCTTGACTGTTTAACTTTTATGAACCCCAGCCTTCCTCATTGTAAAAATGTATGTGTGAACTTTGAACTGCTAGATTACAACCTTGATTTCCGAGATCAGATTTTTAGCAATTTAAAACACACACAAAAAGAAAGAAATTTGGTGCTCTAGCATTTTAATTGCACCCTTTAGCCTGCACAGATGCCTGGCTTTTCTCTGATTTCTGACACAGACTCCAATAAAACCTACTTCAAACAGGACTGGGAGACAGATGCTGTAAAATCCCAAACTAAGAGAGAAGATTTTGCACTTCTATAATGCCTTTCCTCTGAGGATCTCTCAGAACGTTCCCAACCATATTGAGTTTGCTTGCTTAGCACCCTACTTTGCAGGTGGGAAAACAGATGCAGAAAAAGTAAGCAATTTGAACCTTTTATCATTTTTGTATTGGCCAGAAAACCTGACCTAAGAGGAAAGGTTAAATAAACTGGGCATGTTTCTGTTTGAGAAGAGTGGACCTGATCAGTCTTCAGATATGTTAAGGTCTGTGATAAAGAGGACCATGATAAAATGTTCTTCATGATTACCTAAACTAGGATAAAAAATAATCTGTTTAATCTACAGCAAGGAAGATTATTAGGAAAATATTTCTAACTGTTGGGATAATTTCACACTGCAATAGGCGTCTAACAGAGGTTGTGGAATCCTCATCTCTGGAGGTTTTTAATAATAGGCTGGACAAACACCTGTCAGGGATGATTTAGACTTACTTGGTCCTGACTCGACACAGGAGGTTGGAAATTAATGACATCTCAAGGTCCCTTCCAGCCCCACACTTCCATGATCATACAGGAAGTCAGTGGCAGAGTCAGGAACATACTCCCAGTCTTCTGAGCTAGCCACCAGACAGTTCTGTCCCTATATATTAAATAGTAATTTAAAATGTAATATCAGCTTTGGGTTTTACTTTCCAAACACCTCACAATGAATGACTCCAAACTGTGATGCTGGCCAGATCTTCATTCAGCCAGTGTAAATCAGTAAAACTATTGATTTAGATGGGTTTGCACCAGCTAAGGATCTAGTCCACAAAGTTCCACCCATTTCCCATGCAAGTCAAGATTCCCAATAACTTGAACACGAACAGGAGCAGGGAGAAACTTACAGCGATAGCAAAAGTGCATTCATTTTAGTGGGTTTTTTTTAAAGGGACAGTTCCCGATAAATTAGATTCTAAATATAGCAGTGTGTTGTTTTGTTTTTACAAGACTATTAGAAAATGACGTATTAATTTGTCACAAATACATTTTCTTGAGGCTTTTATAACTTTCAGTGTAAATAGTTCCTTTGTCCAGATGTGAATGCTTTCCTGCAGTTTCTGCAACCCAAACGGTAAAGCATTGTACTGGCATTGGACAGCTAATACCTTACAGATTGGAAGCAGTGAAAATCAAATTTATTTCTCATGCCCAAGACCTTAAATGAAATTATGGCAGTATTAATAATACAATTACAGCTTTAAAAAACAGGTATGATTTAATGTGAATGTTTCCTGTTTTCTTTCCTCCACAGGGAGTACAGTATCCATACACAATGGAGTTTCCTGAACTGATGAGTGAAGATTTTGACAACTACTCCTATTACTATGAGAATCCAGAAAATGAAACACCCCAGTCCCACATCAGTGTTGCACACTTGATTTCCCTTTCCTTGTGCAGCGTGGCATTTCTCCTGGGCGTGCCAGGAAATGCCATAGTCATCTGGTTTATGGGGTTTAAATGGAATAAATCAGTCAGTACACTCTGGTTCCTCAACTTGGCCATTGCAGACTTCATCTTTGTTCTTTTCCTGCCTCTCTACATTACGTATGTGGCAATGGGTTTCCATTGGCCCTTTGGGAAATGGCTCTGCAAGACTAACTCCTTCATTGCTTTATTGAATATGTTTGCCAGTGTCTTCTTCCTGACCTTCATCAGCCTTGACCGCTATCTCCGCCTGGTGCATCCAGTCTTTTCCAACAAATATCGGACCCTAAGGAACACCCTCATTCTGAGTGTGATTATTTGGATCTCAGCTGCTATTATTGGTGCCCCTGCCTTATACTTCAGAGACATAATTACAGTTCACAACTCCACTATTTGCTATAACAACTTCCATCCATATGATAAAGAACTCATTCTGATGAGGCATAATATTTTCATTTGGGTGAGGCTTTTTTGTGGTTACCTCTTTCCCCTAGTGACCATGGTCCTTTGTTATTCCTTTCTGGTTCTCAAAGTGAAGAAGAGAACCATGCTAACCTCCAGCAGGCTTTTCTGGACCATCCTTGCAGTAGTTGTAGCTTTTTTTGTGTGCTGGACCCCCTATCACATATTTACCATTCTGGAACTATCTGCTCACCATCATGAACACTTCCATGATTTGCTTCTCAGTGGTATTCCCCTCTCTACTGGCCTGGCTTTCATCAACAGCTGTCTCAATCCAATCCTCTATGTTCTGATCAGCAAGAAGTTCCAAACCCGTGTCCGGGCAACCATTTCTGAGGCACTAAAACTTGCAGTCTGGGAGGTCAGCCGGTCTGGAACGGTCAGTGAACAACTGCGGAACTCTGACAACAGCCATGTGGCTGTGCAGTATTGTGAAACCACTCAGTGACCAGCTCTTAAGTCTTTCCCTCAGTGCGTATAACCAGCAATAGATTCACAATCAAACGCAAGACATGTATCTTAGCTATGAAATAGAACAGTGGGTTGATTACAATTAGTTTAATGCCCTCCATTTTAGCTGGAATGTTTTTAAGGATGCAAATTTTGGGCAGGACGCTATTTCAAAGGACTGAGTCAAAGCCCACTGAAGTCAGTGGGATTTTGATCAGATATAGCCCACTATTAGTCCTGTTTGAAATTTATACAAGGTATTTAAAATGACACCTCTTCAACATAATCCTATACAATTCAGAGGAATAGTTTTGTTATTTAAAATTTTTAATCTAGGTGTTATCAGTCTGGCGCTCATACACAGCTTTTGGAGATCATGATCACACTCAACTTCCAATAATGCTAAATAAGGGGATTTCCTGGCTAGATCCCTGTTAGGTGGAAGGGGGAGGAGGCCTAGTCTGAGTGGGAGAGGGATCCCTATATAGTAGAGAGTCCCAAACATGGAAACAGTTGAACAAGTGCTGTAGATTATTACAACAAAAATCAATTAATGTCCCCTGCTCAGTGGCTGATGTTTTCTTACACTCTGCTTGGATAATGCACATACCCTGGTCTGATACATAGCAGCTTCTAGTCTGTTTCATTTCCCAGTTGTCCATTTTTGGATGCTTTACAGTGAAGAGGGGTTGTTTTTAATATTTTTCCTGCTCCTGAAAACCTAAAGAAATAATTTTTTCTAAACAGTAGATATTGGATGATCCATGCCTCCCAATATTCTACAAAATCTTAATATTGGCCTAAAACTAGTCTATATTAACCAGCTGGTTTTTGATTCCACTAGTGGAACCAAAAGATGAAGTAGTTAACTAACTTTCTAAAACCCACTCACCATTATCAAGCCTTTCCATTGGTGGATAAAATGTATAAAAGACATTCTTGCATGATTTTCAATAGTTTGTAAGAAAGGGCAAAATTTGTTGCCCATTGTAGCAAGGTCTGCTCAAACAGGTGAGGATTTGCAGGATCAGACCCCAAGTAAGGGTAGAATTTGGTACCATTGTTTTTATTTGTTGCTTGCTTTAGAATTGTGCATGGTATTGATGTATAAGCTAAAATTCATCCTTGATATAACCCTATTGAATTTAGGTGAATTATACTGGGATGAATTTGGCCCTAAGTTTCCTATTAACCCACGTATATCCAATAATAGTATATTTTCAGCTTCCATATACAAAACTGTTGTCATCTTATATATAGATTCATGTTTGTGTTCTTTTGCATATTCTGTCACTTTAAAATATATTTGTACACATATAAATAGATCAATATGGCCTTTGGCAGCAGCATCTCTTTGTAGTCTGAATTCATTAAGCCTCATGAGCTAAGCTGTGTTAGGGTGTGGTTACTCTGCACTCTTACCTCAAAATAAGCTACGCAATTTGGGCTATGCAAATTGCATAGTTAGTTCGACTATTTCAAAATAAACCACTATTCCAAAATGTCCCTTAATCCTTGTGGAATGAGGTTTACAGGGATGTTGGAATAACACACCCATTATTTTGAAAACTATTTTGAAATAACAGGTGCGCTTCAAGATGCGGAATAACTTACTTCAGGACACTGGAAGTATCCTGAAATAGCGCTGCAGTGTAGACATACCCTAAGGCTGGATCAGTACCATCTCAGAAATACACCTGAATGCTACAAAATATGATGTTGCTAATTGGGTAGGAACCTCTCTTTCTCTCAGTCATTACAGAACTAGTGCCTCAGCAAGTTATGGGCTTTGTGCTGTGGAATGTGCCTTACTCAAATATTCTGCTCTTTTCTTCTTTAGATTAAGTGGTGTTTTTTCCTAAGAGTGTGTTACCCACACAAATTTCTCTATCCCTTCCACACTTTAGGGATACACACCTTTGCTCAAGGTGCAACCCTGTTAAACACCCACCCGTACCCAATTCCTAGGGCTCAGGGAGTAACTTCCTGTGGGTTTGCAGAATCTTTTGCCACTGAAAGAGCCTTATATAGTAATATTCTTAGTCTCTATTTATTGACAATTACCAAGCAAGCAGAATACACATGCTAAGCACATAGTGGCATGCTCACCAATCCTGATAAAGGCAGGCCGACTTCCCCTGTTGGCCAGGCAAGGCACATCACAATCATGCAGAGGAGTCCTGGCAGCTCTGGTCTTAGGCTATATCTTGGAGGTGAGATCTTTTTCCAGGTCTTCCCTCCTTCTTGGTGTTCCTTTCCCTTTTTTCCTCTTCTTGCTTTTTCCCATCTCTCTTGTCTACTTCTTGGACCCCATCTTATATAGTGAGACTTGAGTCCTGCTTAGCTATCTATACCTTAACCCAGTGTTTCTCAAACTGTTCTCCGTGTAGTGTGTTCTCCCTGTGTGTATGGAAAAGAGAGCACTCACCTGATGATCCCTCCCAGCTGTCAGGGGATGCCTGAGACACATCCAGGCCCAGGGGTACTGGCTCCAGGGTCAGTGTCATGGTGCTGGCTGTGTCCACCTCATCCTGCCCCTGATGTCTCTCATCCTCCCCGAGCTCTAGGTGGGCGACATCAGGTGTTTTGAGCCCTGAGTCTACCACCAGATGGGGAAAGGGCTTCTCTACCCTCCAGGATCTGGTGGAACTCCTGGTAATAGGGGCAGGAGCAGGGTCCTGCCCCAGAGTGACAGCTGCACTAACTGGCCCTGGCAGAGCTCTTTAACTTTACTCTGGATCTGTTCTCAGGTCTGGTGGTGGGGGGTGGGGTAGGGTGCATGTCCCTCAGCCATGAGCCCATAGATAGACATTTTGATGCCGTGAGTAGAGATCCTGCAGGGTCTTCTCTTCCCCCCACAGCTCGAGGAGGGACAGGATCTCCGCTCTGGACCAGGAGGGCATATGCCACTTGCTACCCCAGCAGGGTCCTGGAAGCCCTGTGAGGGCCGGGAGTTTTCAGCGATCTTGTGCTTGGCCATGGATGGCAATGCCTGTGGCAAAGAGCCATGCGGTCAGGTGCTGCTCCCAGGGCTGGCTTCCTGCCACAAGGCTTGTCCAGGGTACCTGCAGTTTTAAGGACTAGCAGGAGACAGGAACTAAGGAGGTGTGATTAGGTTGGACGGAGTGGCCAAAAAGGCTTCTTCCTCACAGAAAAAGGTTTAGTGCTGTTGGAAAAACCCTGTTGTTTTGACTTTGAAAGAATGCAATAGTAGGGTGGACATGAGTGTTTCTCCGGAAAAGTACTGCAGTGTAGGCCTAGCCTGAGGGAGATTAGAATACTGAATGTGCTGGAATGGTAAAAAGGAGCAGAAACCTATGGTGACAAGGGAGGCGTAGCAGCACCACCTCTCGCATGGAGACAGCAAAGCAGCTGGAGCACTGCTCTCTCTGCTTCCCTCAAGCGAAGGGTAGTCACACATGCTGCAAATATGCTGTGGAACCACGAGTTAATTTCCATTTTAGTGATGGAAAAATCCAGACTGTGGTGTCCTGTTATGGAATTCTAATATACTGGCCCATCATTAAACAATGAGGATGGAGGGAGGGGGGGAAGCTTAGCACTTCACATCTGTTCTCGGTTGAGGGCAGAATCTGACCCAGGAATTTAACAAAGATTAAAACTTAAAAAACAACAGCACTTTAAAGACTAATAAAACATGTCGCTGGTATCATGAGCTTTCATGGGTACAACCCACTTCTTCAGATGACTGGAGTATTAGAAGTCCAGATCCCACCTCATGCTAGATCTAGGGCCTACCCTGGAGTGAAGAGAACTGGCTTTCAAGCTGGCTCTCCTCAGTACTCTTTGCTTGCAACCAGAGGCAAAGAGGAGCGGGGGAGATCTATTAGGGATGTAACTGAGTAGTCAATTACTCAGAAGATCTTAGTTTAATTCAGTTTTCATTTTTTATTCTGCAGTTCACTTCACAGGCAAAGAAATGTTTGAGCTGTAATTGAGCTAGATTATTCAGTTATTTGGAATCAAACAGAGGGACCATAGGCGTTCAGGTACTTTTATTCCCGATGTAGCATGGTTTAGATCTTGTTGAAAGCAGCTACATCCATGGACTGTACATAATCTTCAAAGGCTGTTATTCTCTCTTCCAACATATCTGTACCAACTTTGTCATCTTCAACTACACACTGAATTTGAAGCTTCTTAATACCGTAGCCAACTGGAAGCAACTTGGCTATCAAAGAAAGAAATATATGCTAATTAGGAGTCAATTATCCAAATACGCTGTTCACCAGAGCATCACTTTAAGCATAATGAAGTGCCAGTTAGACAATACAAAACACTGAATTGCATAAAGTACATGGCAAAAAACAGTACATTACTCCCTATGCATATCACCTAATCAACGACTTGATCATACTTTTACAAAGATGTGTTTGCTGTTGATAGACCCTAGATACTGGGTGAAGATTAGGAAGCTGACCAAGAGATACACCCACTCCTCTCCACCAAGTCACTCCACCCCACAACTAAGCAGAGATGTAAAAAAGTAGTCAACTACTTGTATTCCAACCCCTGCTGCCTCTATTAGAGGCAAGAGGGTGCAGAGGTGTGAAGGAAAGGAAGAGCTGGGACAGTGCCGGACTGAGCCATACTTGCGCCCTGGCCAATGGGTGTGTGGTGCATGTGTGGCCCTGCCTCTGGGCGCGTAGCGCCTGATTGATAAGGTAAGGAGTGCATCTGCCTCCTCCCAGGATTCCCCCGCCCCCGGGAAGCCAGCACATGCCTCCTCCAGGCCAGACTCCTCTCCTCCTCCCCCACTGCCCACAGCGGGGCCAAACCCCCGCAGGAGCCTGCCCCAGGGCCAAACCCCCCTCCCACAGGGAGCCCAGGCCCGGCAAACCCCCCCCCCTGCAGTGGGGCCAACCCCTGGGGGCAGGTGCCCCTGGGGCCAAGCCCCCCCTCCCACAGCATGGCTTGGCCCCCTCCCCTCCCGCAGCGCAGCCAACCCCCGCAGGCGCCTGCCCCGGGGCCAAACCCCCTTCCTGCCTCATGGCCAAACCCCGGGTCTGACTCTGGCTTCCACGGCACAGGGAAATCCCTGTGTTCAACTCACCCCTCCCAGGGAAACCACCGGACTCCTCTTCTGGAGCCGATGCCTCCTCCGCCAGCAAGTGACAGCTGCGGGAGGGGAGCAGCCTGCACACTTCCGGAGCCCCCGGAAGTGACGCAGGCTTCACCCAGGACTTCACCCAGAACTCGTGAAGTCATTCTGCCGCTCTACTCTGCACTAGTTAGGCCTCAGCTGGAGTACTGTGTCCAGTTCTGGGCGCCACATTTCAAGAAAGATGTGGAGAAATTGGAAAGGGTACAGAGAAGAGCGACAAGAATGATTAAAGGTCTAGAGAACATGACCTATGAAGCCAGGCTTCATGAACTGGGCTTGTTTAGTTTGGAAAAAAGAAGATTAAGGGGGGACATGATAGCGGTTTTCAAATATCTAAAAGGGTGTCACAAGGAGGAAGGAGAAAATTTGTTCCTCTTGGTTTCTGAGGACAGGACAAGGAGTATTGGGCTTAAAGTGCAGCAGGGGAGGTTTAGATTGGACATTAGGAAAAAATTCCTAACTGTTAGGGTGGTCAAATATTGGAATAAATTGCCAAGGGAGGTGGTGGAATCTCCCTCTCTGGAGATATTTAAGAACAGGTTAGATAGACATCTGTCAGGGATGGTGTAGGTGGAGCTTGGTCCTGCCTTGAGGGCGGGGGGCTGGACTCGATGACCTCTTGAGGTCCCTTTCAGTCCTATTATTCTATGATTCCATCCACCCCGCGGGAAGCCGGCACTACACTAGAGGTAGGTGGTGGGGCTTCTCAGGGGTGGGGGTGCCCAAACACCTCGCGATCGACCGGTTGGTGATCACAGCTTTAGGGCAAGGGGAAGGAAAGGGGACGCAGAGGCACAGGCGGGGAACTGAAGCAGTCCCCACTCATGCTGGGTCCTGACTGCTGCACTTCTGCCTTAAATGTACAGGCAGCTGTTATTACATTTCAAAGGCAGAGCTACAGCAGGGACAGCAAGCACTTCTCTCCTGTTATTGACTAGTAAATAGAAATTCCATCAACTATTTGATTGGCTGACACTAAAATTTAACACCCCTACAACTGCGCTCTGATATCTAAAAGTCCAGGGATGGAATAACTAAAGATAGGTTCATCATATACCAATAGTTAATCTGTACTAGTTCTACATACCATGAAGTTATGCTTACAATATCTTTGCATGCAACTTTTTTTTTTTAAACTATTGCACTACCATCCCCTTGCTCAAGTAGTTTCTCCTACTTACAAGATCCCCAGACTAAGCCATCTGCCTGAATGCTTCGGACACATTCCTCCAATTTGGCCATATCTGTCTCATCATCCCAGGGTTTCACATCCAGTAAGATGGATGATTTGGCAATGAGAGCTGGTTCTAAGGGAGAAAAGAGAAAGCAACATGACATAAGAATAAATAAGGTATCCCAGGTATTTCTCAATCTAAGGCATTTTATAAAAGTTATTGTAAACATGCAGCAGGAAAAGAATAGTCAAAACAGACGAATAAAACTTTATGTATTTGTCAACACAGAGGGATTTACTCCTTCCAATCATATATCCAGTTAGTATAATACTAAGTCACATGTACTTCCAAAAAGTCATCTTATCAAGCCAAACTTATTTAGAAACTTGCATCAAATCCAAGTTCTCTTGTCTGTTACAGAGAAAGTCCTTTTCAGCTGACCCAAAAAGGACATGATACAGTAACAGTTTATTTCCCACAGATGGAATACTGCAACTGTTACATTTCAGAACAGTTCCAGACCAGTAGCTGTGGGTTCCTATATTTAAAATGACAAGGCTGCCATCTGAAAATAATATCCGCTGGTTTTTAATCTTCTCCTTACTTTAGACATTAAGATAGAGACTTTAATGAGACTAAACTTTGCATTTTTAGCTTTACAAGCCAATCCCAAACTAAAGTCACATCTCATTGACAAACATCGTTTCAAGTGCGCATGGAATAAAAGTGCTTTAACAGTGAAAAACTTTCAAGTATACTTGATCAAAGCAAACCATCTACTCCAGCTAATAATCTGGAAAATTCTTATTTCAATTTTCGATGCATACTTAAACCAAGTGCATAAAACAGGCTATTAAAGCTACCAAACATACTTTTGGATTTCTTAGATTCATACTGAGCCTTCACTTTCCTGAAAAAGAAAAAACAGATTCACACCAAGGCAAAGACAGACACACTTTATCCACTAATAAAATTAGACTGGCTTTTGGTCAGGTAAAAACAAATCATCACAAGATCAGCCGAAAGATGGTGATTTGGTTTTATTCATCATGTTACCAGTCAGACAGACACTTCATACAAACTTGCTCTAGCAAGTTTACAAAACTCCTACCACCTTTGTGACAAAGATTAAGCGTAGTTTGTAATGCATAACAGCGGAGTCACATTCATGCCTATTACAATAAATTGCTCTTCTCTACCCAATTAGCTATTTACCTCCTCACATGTTCTTTCCTGTTAAGCATTCAAAGTCAAATGAATTTCAGGGCCGTGATATACACCAGAAATGTACTATTTCAATTTAATTATGATATTTTAAATACAAAAAGAAGAAAACTAATGAGAACCTAAAATCACAAGTCTATTTCTAAAAATAATCTCTTCAGTACTGGAGACAACAACATAAGCTACCGAGTCAAAGACTCATTTAATTGCACATCCAGTAATTTGATCTATGCCATCAAATGCCAGCGATGCCCCACTGCACTATATTTTTTTATATCTATCAATGGACACACACACACACCCACCCCCCAATGGACACAAATCAGATATATGTAAAGGAAATACAGAAACCTGTAGGACAACACTTCAATCTACCTAAACACTCTTTAAAAGCTCTCCAGGTGGCTGTCTTGTCACAAACTAATTCTACAAGCCAAATACACAGAGGCGTTGGAATTACAATACATCCACAAATTCAATTCTCACACTGATAACCTCCTCAATCGAGATAAGCAATGGCTTGGACATTATTCAGCCTAACATTCAATCTGATTAGCTTCTATGATGAGGTAACTGGCTCTGTAGATATGGGAAAGTCACTGGATGTGATAAATGGTTACCAAGTCAGTACCCTGACATACACGGGGCGTTTCGCCTGACTGCCCAACGCTCGGTCCTTGCCTGGAAGCCTCGCACATGCTCCAGATCAATTAATACCTTGATTTTAGCAAGGCTTTTGATATGGTCTCCCACAATATTCTTGCCAGCAAGTTAAGGGAACGTGGATTGGACAAATGGATGGTACAATGGATAGAAAGCTAGCTGGAAGGTTGGGCCCAGCAGGTAATGATCAATGGCTTGATGTCAGGATGGTGCTAGTGGAGTGCCCCAAGGTTCAGTTCTGGGACCATTTTTGTTCAACATCTTTATTAGTGACCTGGATGAAGAGATGGATTGCACCCTCAGCAAGTTTGCAGATGACACTAAGCTCTAGGGGGAGAGGCAGATACGCTGGAGGGCAGAGATAGGGTCCAAAATGACTTAGACAAATTGGAGGATTGGGCCACAAGAAATCTGATGAGGTTCAACAAGGACAAGTGTAGAGTCCTGCACTTGGGATGGAAGAATCCAAAGCATTGGTACAGGCTGGAGGGGACCAACTGGCTAAGTAGCAGTTTTGCAAAAAAAGGACCAGGGGATTACAGTGGATGAGAAGCTGGATATAAGTCAATGGTGTGCCCATGTAGCCAAGAAGGCTAATGGCATATTAGGTTGCATTAAGAGGAACGTTGCCAGTAGATCCAGAGATGTGATTATTCCTCTTTATTCGGCTCTGGTGAGGCCACATCTGGAATACTGTGTCCAGTTCTGGGCCCCTAATTACAGAAAGGATCTGGATGCATTGGAGAGGGTCCAGCGGAGGGCAACTAAATGATTAGGGGGTTGGAGCACATGACTTACAAGGAAAGACTGAGGGAGTTGGGTCTGTTTAGTCTGCAAAAGAGAAGAGTGAGGGGGGATTTGATAGGAGCCTTCAACTTCCCGAAGGGAGGTTCCAAAGAGGCTGGAGAAAGGCTGTTCATAGTAGTGATGGATGGCAGAACAAGGAGCAATGGTCTCAAGTTGCGGTGGGGAGAGGTCCAGGTTGGATATTAGGAAAAACTATTTCACTAGGAGGGTGGTGAAGCACTGGAATGGGTTACCTAGGGAAGTAGGGGGAGTCTTTATCCCTAGAGGTGTTTAAGTCTCGGCTTGACAAAGCCCTGGCTAGGTTGATTTAATTGGGATTGGTCCTGCCTTGGGCGGGGGGCTGGACTTGATGGCCTTCTGAGGTCTCTATGAATGAAGGTGCCAACAGCTCTGTGTGTATTTTCTGGTGTTGGTACCCTTCCTATCTAATTGCTATCCTATGATTCTTGTCTGCTGCTTTTAACTACACCTAAAGATTGGGCTTATAGGTTACCAGTTCTGCCTACTTTTTTTCCCCCTTTGATATTTTCATACCCTCTGCTCTGTGTCTCCTAGCCCCTTCCTCCCCCTCTTCCCCCCATTCATTTTAGGTCTGGGCATCGTAAACTCATAATTCCAGTCATCTGAAGAAGTGGGCTGTGGCCACGAAAGCGCATGATACCATCTACATGTTTTGTTAGTCTATAAAGTGCTACCAGACCATTTGTTGCTTAAGATTAGCCAGTACCTCCTCATCCTCTGATCCGAAGAGATCAATGTCATCATCATCTTTGCTATCTGTGGCTGCAGCTGTAGCGTCTTCAACATCAGCAGGACCATATTTCCCCAAAGCTTTCTTTACTCCTGGCAAACTAAAACAAGTGGCAAAATATTACACTCCTAATCTCACACACAAAGATTTAAGATCAATGAACCTCCAGTAATGATTATTTGTGATAGCAATCAAGTATACTACAATTTCAAAAGTGAGAGAAGCCAGAACAGTCCCAAAAGTGCACTCAACATAATTAAATTGACAATTATAATGGTGAATCCCGCATGCATAGGCAGCTAAATGGCATACTACTTTTGCTCTTGCTAGCAGAATTTCCGACAATATAGCACCTAACAGCAACCACTTGTCTGGAATTTTGTTCATGGGTGATTTGGTAAGTTTTGCTTTTTACAACATGCAGAAAAGAGACAATAGATCAGAGAAAGATTAGTGGTTCTTGAAAATTAACACTATATTGCATCATTAAATAAATCTTCCACTTTCCACCCAAATGATTTCTTGAAAACCTTTGTTTTCAGTGGAGGATCAATTAGTGGCTTGGTAGGTACAGTGGTAAGGCTAGTTTTGTAACCAGGTAATTAATTGATTTTGGTGTTTTAGCTATGGAGTTGTTTGAGAATGAGCTTTTTTAGTGCCTAACATCAACACAACCTGGCTTGTGTTGTTTTAGAACGAATGGAACCTGTTAGGAACTAAATACAGGAAGCCCCAACTCTGAACACATTTTCCTATAGAAAGCTATAAAATGGTTTTAGGTTCCCAGGCTATCCCACAAAAACCTACTTAACCCATAATATAGCTGAAATACTATATTCACAAAATATACTAGTAATCCATATCTGCACTGTGTGCAGATTTTTTCCATCCATGTGTAGTATTTTATGTGCACTGAGGCATGTGCAAATCTACACCAACAAACAGATGCTCTGCTAATCAGCTCAGCATCATTTGAATTTCTCCTAAGCAGACACCCAACCGCACAGGAAACAATGCTAGTAATTAAACAATCAGAATAATAGAATTGACCAAGAAATAGTTTATTTAACCTTAATGCTGGTGTTTATGGAAAGGCAGATTTAATTAGAGGATGAGGAAGATGGAAATTCTGAAGGGGACTTCTGGACATCCTCCACCCATCTCACCTCAGGGGTTGCACCCAAAGCTGGAGGACTCTGGAGCAGGGAGAGCCACACAGCCAACAGGAGAGAAGTGGTGCCTTGAAAGGAAAACTGTCACTTCTATAGCCACTGATTGCATGGCCACCTACTGTGCCTCCAGTGCTGTCCCATGTCCACACCACACACACCTCTTGCTTACTTCCACAGCTGCAAATAGGCATTTGCTTTTATGTTTGTAATTGAGTCTGGACTTCAGAAGTGCAAACAGCTCCCTCTATTGCTTGAAAATATATATATTTCAGCCTTTCTACTGCCTCCTCCTTTAGCTACCTTAGTGTATTTAACTATGACTTTCTTTGCACCTTCATTATTCTGAAGGTATCTACCGAAGACAAAATGATGTTATCTTAAGCTTTTATGTCTATTTGCATTTTATTAGATTGCTATTTCTGATAAACTGCAGTGACAGAACACTAGCCTCCATGATTATGTTCCTCTATATTAACCTGTACTTTGAATTTTGCTAGACTGGTACTAGTTAGATGTTGTCAGAATTTGTAGCGAGATTAATGAAATAAGCTTATAACTTTTGTCCAGTTTCAAGACAAACCATCACAAGTGGTATACAGTTAGCAGAAGCATCAAAAAAGCCAAAGGTCAGGAGACTGAACAATTCAACTCTACAGGAGGCTCCCCCAAAACAGGGTTGAAGCACAATGGTGAGGCAGTGTGGAAAGTGCACACACTGAAGCTGCCTATGGTGTACCTTTTCTAGAGAGGACTTCAGTCTCCATGGCTGTCAATACGGCAACTTTCATGAGCACTAAATTCACTAAAAGAGAAAAGAATACATTTGCTTTCACATTTCCAGGTGCTTCTGCAGGTCACTATTTAATTTACTTTAAGATTTCAGGATGATCATGTGAATGAAAGGTCTCCCAACATGAGAGTTGGTAATTTTGTTTGCTAGAATTCCTATTTCAAGATACACATGGGGCGGGGAGTGAGAAGCTGGTGTACATATTGTAGGGGGAATCTGTACTGGGCCATGATCCGGTCGGGGTATAAGCGTCACCTATTTACCATTGTGGGCTCAGCTGTGTGCTGGGCCAGGAACAGCCCGTGGGTTCAAAGTCCCTGTCTACAGAACTGCTGGCTACAAGCCCATGGAGACACGATGACGCTCGGCGATTAGCCCCTCACGTATCAGTGAGCGCTCCGCGGGAGCCGCTGGAGGTACCTGGCCTTTTGCCGCTCATAGGACTGGATGTGCTTGTACCAGCGCAGCGCGTGGAACAGGTCAGCTGGGCCAGGAACAGCCCGTGGGTTCAAAGTCCCTGTCTACAGAACTGCTGGCTACAAGCCCATGGAGACACGATGACGCTCGGCGATTAGCCCCTCACGTATCAGTGAGCGCTCCGCGGGAGCCGCTGGAGGTACCTGGCCTTTTGCCGCTCATAGGACTGGATGTGCTTGTACCAGCGCAGCGCGTGGAACAGGTCAGCCGG